ATTTTGATCTACAGTAAAGTTTTGAACACAACAAGTAAAAGAAAATAAAAACATTCTGAGAATAACACAGATAAATAATTGTATGATATCAGCTATGTTTTCAGGGTAGAAAAAAAAAAGTGATTTATCCTGACAGAGATCATGTGTGTAGTAGTTATTATGGGCATGAGTTCATTATTTGAATATTATTGTATTGATTACTTTAAATAATGTTTTTATCATTTATTTAGTTTTTTAAAAACATTTTGTATCATTTCTTTATTTTTTATGATTTTTTGTATCTTCTTTTCCATTTTTTTTAAAGCTTTTTTAATTTTTTCTTAATTTGTATTACTTTTTGTATATTTTCTATTTTTGTAATCATTTTTTTGTTTTGTCTTTATTTTTATTACTTTTTTTTAATCTTTTTTCATTTTTATCATGTTTGTATCTTTTATTTTCATTTATTTTATTTTTTTTAATCACACATTTTTTAAAATCTTTTTTTCTTTTTTCCTTTATTTTTTATTACTTTTTGTATCTTTTTTCATTTTTATCATTTTTGTATCCTTTATATAATTTTTTCACCTGCTTTTTTGTAATTGTATTAAAGTAGATATTAAACTCAAACTTTTTTTCAATAATGAATCCAGATCAAACAAATACACATCGCCCAGCAAAGTATTTCTGTACATTTTTGCCCAAGCACTTACAGTCGTCATGTTTCCGAACAGCTCCAACTCTCTCAACACGGCTTCCCTGAACTTCCTGTCCAGTACAAGGTCACAAGGTACAGAGCAGATCCAGCATCTATCCATCTACTAGCTTGAATAAAGGAGTGGGCAGGAGCAGCGGGGGAAGGGAGTGTCTTGCCTTGCTGGGCCTGTGTGTCTGTGAAGACACACACAGCTTACTAGCACGCACCAGGGTGGCTCCGTAGGACCCTGCAAGGAAAAGGAGCCACAGCTTACTAGCACACAACAGGGTGGCTCCATGGGACACTGCAAGGGAAAGGAGCCACGTACAGCTTACTAGCACACACCAGGGTGGCTCCATGGGACACTGCAAGGGAAAGGAGCCACGTACAGCTTACTAGCACACACCAGGGTGGCTCCATGGGACACTGCAAGGGAAAGGAGCCACGCACAGCTTACTAGCACACACCAGGGTGGCTCCATGGGACACTGCAAGGGAAAGGAGCCACGCACAGCTTACTAGCACACACCAGGGTGGCTCCATAGGACCCTGCACTTTCCCATTGGCCACCCGGACCTATGTAGGGGACAGCCATAGAGTAGGTGGGGGCCACTTGAAAAAGGGGGTACTTGACCCCTGAAATGTATCCGGGTCACCCTCACTCTTCGAGCATTCAGCTGATTTATTCTGATTTTGGTACCAATAAAACCGGTTTGGATGTTCAGCAACCTGTATGTGAGAGGTATTGCCTGTACTATGCTCATGTGTGTCATCATAGGCTGCTAATCACCTGCAAAACCTGCTGTTCTATCTATATATATATATATATATCTGTCTACATGCACTCCAGTGATGGCTGCATGACATTTCTCAGCGCTGGTTTCCTGATGGTGACAACAGTGGACCATGCTTGTAATGTAATGTGTGCTGAAACGGCCTCTTTTAGTCTCTATGTGACAGTGTGACAACACAGGAGCACAATTGGGAGGCAGCAACAGAGCGTTGTCACCCTATGACAAGAAGTGCATAAACAAAGACTGTCATAGCAGGATCACCGGGGATTATTTTTATTTTGGAATGATGTTACCGTGGTAAGGATTGTATCAGGTATCAGCGGTTGGGCTTAGACTGTTAATCTTATAGGGCAGTGGTGGGCAACCTCTTGGCACTCTGGCCGTTCAGGAACTACAAGTCCCATGAGGCATTGCAAGACTCTGACAGTCACAGACATGACTCCCAGGGGCAGAAGCATGATGGGATTCAACACAGCTGGAGTGCCGAAGTTGCCTTCCCCTTTTATAGTGTACAGCAGAGGTAGGCATACTCTTCCCTCTAGCTGTGGTGCAACTACAAGCAGGGCCGGCCTTAGGCCTTTAGGCGCCCTGTGCGAGAAAGCTTTACAGCGCCCCTCAGTGACCACACCTCTCAGTGGCCACACCCCCAGTAACCACACCCATTTCCCCCAATATCCGCACCATTTAAAGACTCCTATTTTGTTAAGCCGCAAACAAAAATATATTAAAAACTATGATAAAAATAAAACTTTTATTCAAAGGTATTAAACTTGTCGGCACAATATAAGTATTCTTATTACATAAAACAACAGAAGGTAAACAATAAATGTCAATAATAGAGTCTATAAAAATAAAGTGTCAGGTTGTCATGCCGACCCTTTCTTCAAGTAAATGCATCTAGAAAAGTAAAAATAAAAAGCAGAACATAAAACCCGGACTACGTGTAAAATGAATGAATTACTATATGTCTGAATATACGAAAAATGTATTCAGGCGCATAATAATAATAAATTGTTTGAGAATGTGCGGCAGCCATGTTGGCCACTGACGTGTTCTGTGAATGCGTGCCACCATCTTGGAGGCGGGGAGCTTGACGTTACATGACGCCTTTTAAAATGGAAAAGAAATTGAGGACACCAAATCCTCAATTTCTTTTTCTGCAGCCTCAGCAGTCAGTGAATAGGAAGCTCTCAGTACAGAGACTTTCCATTCATTCAGAAACTGATGATAGTAAGATATTTTATTATCAGCTGTTTCTGAATGGGGAGGAGCCTCTGTACTGAGTGCTTCTCCCCGTTGAGGAAATCTTGAATGAACAGGCTGTGATGTAAATCACATATTACTATGTGTCCCCATACCGATCCTCCGCCCTGTCACGCACAGAGCCGCTGTCATCCTGAAACTGACGAGGGAGCGCTGCCATGTCGGATGGCCAGCGGTGAGGAGGAGAGAAGCTTCGCTCCCCCAAGGGTAGCCATCATACCCCCCCATTTCACGCCCCATACCTCGGATCTTGGTAGATTTGATCCAGATTTCTCGCACTTC